TTCTCCAGCTCATATGTGTATCCATTACGGGCTATTCGTGCCCGTGCCACCTTTTGGGTGGCTTAATCTTAATCTATCAATCTGTGTATCCAGCTTCCGTGCCTATTGGATCCCCCCTGTTTCTCCTTTTTAGAACTTTGAATCGTGGTCCACCCTCTCAATTCCCTTGAGTATCTTGTACGTCGTTATCATATGTGCTCATGTTAGACTTTGTAACAAGTAACAGCTTTGTAACAAGTCTGGTCGCATATCTGTAATTGTTATTCATTTATTTGATGCCTTTGTCAGGTGTGGATTCCCATGCTGGTGCTGCTTACTCAAGGGCTGGTCTTACGTAGGTTGTATATAGTGCTATGAAGGGGCTCCTTGTCAAGGTGCTTCAAGGGCTATCTTGATATTTAGCAGTTGATTGTATGCCGCTGATGTTATTTTGTGACTGTGTCCTCAGATGTCACATTAAAATAAGGCATGGTGGTGATGATGTGGGTATTGGTGGTGATGATGTGGGTATTGGTGGTGTTGATGTGGGTATTGGTGGTGATGATGTGGGTATTGGTGGTGATGATGTGGGTATTGGTGGTGTTGATGTGGGTATTGGTGGTGATGATGTGGGTATTGGTGGTGTGGATGTGGGTATTGGTGATGTTGATGTGGGTATTGGTGGTGATGATGTGGGTATTGGTGGTGTGGATGTGGGTATTGGTGGTGTGGATGTGGGTATTGGTGGTGTTGATGTGGGTATTGGTGGTGTTGATGTGGGTATTGGTGGTGTGGATGTGGGTATTGGTGGTGTTGATGTGGGTATTGGTGGTGTGGATGTGGGTATTGGTGGTGATGATGTGGGTATTGGTGGTGTTGATGTGGGTATTGGTGGTGATGATGTGGGTATTGGGTGGTGTTGATGTGGGTATGGTGGTGATGATGTGGGTATTGGTGGTGTGGATGTGGGTATTGGTGGTGTGGATGTGGGTATTGGTGGTGTTGATGTGGGTATTGGTGGTGTTGATGTGGTATTGGTGGTGTGGATGTGGGTATGGTGGTGTGGATGTGGGTATTGGTGGTTTGGTGATGTGGGTATTGGTGGTGTTGATGTGGGTATTGGTGGTGTTGATGTGGGTATTGGTGGTGTGGATGTGGGTATTGGTGGTGTGGATGTGGGTATTGGTGGTGTGGATGTGGGTATTGGTGGTGTTGATGTGGGAATTGGTGGTGTTGATGTGGGTATTGGAGGTGTAGATGTGGATTTTGATGTGAATGCGGGTATTGGTGATGTGGGTGCGGGCATTGGTGGTGACCGTAGATGCTGGTACTATTATTCAAAATAATCTCATTCTGTGCTATATACAGTTTTTTAAAACAGAGTTATACATTTTACATATAAAACATTTAAATCACATATGTGAAAATTCTCCATTAAACCACACAAATTCTTAAATAAAACTTGGTATCTAAAATGTATGAGAAACAAATATCTTTATGATAGCAATAAGACGGTCAAGATGACCATCAAGATGGTACTAAGGAGCACGTGATTGCATGCCTACGAACAAGCAGGGAAGTTGACTAACAGCCAAACGACCTCTCATCAGGTGTCGAGTGATCGACTGCCCTTAGTTCAGAACTAATGTCCATTAACTTCCTTACAAATACATTATGAGCATTATTAATTCAGTTCAAAAGCCATATGGAAAAAAAATCCTCAAGAATAACAAGGGGGGGAACCTTTGTCAAGCCGCCGGCTTTCTGTCTCCGTCGTGTTCCCTAGAGAGAGAGATGGTGGCCCTTGGGTACCTTGAGGTTACCTTGAGGTGCTTCCGGGGCTTAGCGTTCCCGCGGCCCGGTCGTCGACCAGGCCTCCTGGTTGCTGGACTGATCAACCAGGTAAATAAATTAGGTAAATTCAGGTAAATGAACTGATAAATAATATCATGACGAATCGATATGATAAGAAACAAAAATAGATGGAGAGAATATTCCCCCCCCCCCCGTCTCTACTTGTGTTGGCTGGCATTGGAGATTTTAGCATGGGAGGGTTGATGGGAATGTGATCAACTATGGATGTGTGGGTTGTGGTGGGTTGTGGGGGGAAGTGCTCCGTCCTGCCCACACACTAATCACATTACCTGACGACGTAAACAGATCCATCTTCTCAGGTGACATCTTCTTCCTCCGTCAGTGTATCTGTAACTATTACTCTGTTTCATCTCTCGCTGCTTCTGTGTCACGCTCGCTATCTGTCTTTCTCTTTCTCTCTCTCTCTCTGATTCTCTCTCTCTCTCTCTCTCTCTCTCTCTCTCTCTCTCTCTCTCTCTCTCTCTCTCTCTCTCTCTCTCTCTCTCTCTCTCTCTCTCTCTCTCTCTCTCTCTCTCTCTTTCCAGTTATGGCCTCGTTATGTTGCCAAGATACTTTTCAGTATTCTCTCTTTTATTGGAAATAACCACTTAATTGAATGATGAGAGTTTGGTGATTTTCTTGCACACACACACACACACACACACACACACACACACACACACACACACACACACACACACACACACACACACACACACACACACACACACTAAAGTTAGCAGGTCGAACTGCTTACTTTAGTGTCTTCTCCTTCAGACACTGGCTGAGCAAACGCAAGTTACCAGCTATAATACATATGTATATACATAGATATATCTATGTATATCAATGCAAGTATATATATTCTATATCCATGCATGCCAGAGATGGAAGCGAAAGATGACCAATTATCTTGAAATAGGCTCGTAGCGCCCGGGCAGCTCGGCTGTCTCCGTCAGCGATCTGGCCGTTTTCTCTGATCGCCATGTTATAGGGGGAAACTGAAGTCACTCACTATACATGATCTATTTGCTGCTGTACACGATCTATATGCTGCTATACATGATATATTTGCTGCTAGGTAGACAGAAGCATCAGATGAAAATAAATATGTCCAACAATTTCTGTTCCTGCCTGGGGATCGAACCCAGGATTGCCAACTGTGAGACGAGAACGTAAACCGTAGGACATTATTAAGTCCCCGTGGCATAGTGATAAGACGCTCGCCTGGCGTTTCGCGAGCGCTTTGTATTGGGTTCGTATCCTGGCCGGGGGAGGATTGACTGGGCTCCAATCCTTAGTTTTAGTTTAGTTAATTTATTATGCATCCAGTCCTTAACTGTAGCCTCTGTTCTCCCAGCAGTGAATGGGTACCTTGTTGTTAAACGATTTGGGGTCGTATTTCGGGGGAAAAATTTCGGATTAAGGACTTGCCCAATACGCTATGCGTGCTAGTGGGTTTACAAGATTGTAAGAACTCTTGTATATATAAATAAATATATATAAACAGTCCTTGTCGTGCATTGCGTTGAAGGTCATAGTTTACCCTATGATAATCCACCCACACGTTTTCTTTGGTAGCGTTGCATTTGATTGGCTGTGCTCCCTAGACCTAAGGATAATTAAATAATAATGATAATAATAATAATTTTAAATTTACCAGAAGGTACAATGGGGTTTGTGAGATTACATATGACTGGTATTTTTACATTCTTGTCGGAGCCACCAGCACATATAACGATTCGGACAGGTCCTTAAAGCTAACTAACCAGGAAAGATAAAAAAAAAGGTACATTGTAGCAAATTTTGTATCGGCATATAACTTCAATATAAACTGACAGAGGTGATTATTCTGAGTTTTACAGCCCCGATCCTGTGCCAGGTAAGTCCACTACGGGCTCACCATAGCCCGTGCTACTTGTAACTTTTGGTTCCAAGTAGCGAATCTTAAACAACAACAACAACGATTATTCTGGTGAAGATATATATCTTAATGTACTAATATTTGGGGAAGTGGGTAGTAAGACACAGTGTGAGTTTGAAGCACAAGGAGGTATAGGCTCTCGTCTTAATTCTCGTTGTCGGGGACAGGAAGGCTGAGCATATACATACACTCTAGACTTGTATCGAGGTCGAGCTACTGAACCTTCCCCCAGGATGCAACCCCCCCACAACAGTTGCCACTTCTATCCCGCCTGGGAATCGAACCCAGCATCTACGATCGTCAGACGAGAACGAGACCCCCTTGCCACCCCCTTCCCCCCCTCATCTTCCCTTTGTCCCCCCCCATCCCCCCATTAGCCCCCCATCCCACATTTTCACTACAAACAAGTGCATCTTTCGCGAAGAATTGTGAAGGAATATGTCTTGGCAGATCTCCATTTTGGGGGACGAAGGGTGGGGGGTAGAGGGGGGAGGGGTGAAGGAGTGGGGGAGGAAGTTAATCAGGAGAAAGAGTAAGATATACGATGCTCTCTGATGACTGGCTAGGGAGACTATGTGTATGGATAGGGAGACTGGTGTGTATGGATAGGGAGACTGGTATGTATATAGAGAGGAAGTGTTGTATGTATACAGTATCAAGTAATCAGGTTCGATAATAATACAGCCCGTCCGCCTAACAGAACGTCGCATTTTGACGTATAGTCCACCTAAGGCCAAAAAATCGTCGTACTAGAAAATGGCAGCTTCTCCCGAAATTGACATACTGTCCCGTTTTCTGTTTTGGATCCTCTGGTAGGTTAGGATAAGGGGGCACTTTAGTACGGCAGTTTCTTGACGTTGGGAAACTATAGGAGGACAGGCAGGTGATAATGATGACCCGAAATATTGACCCCCCAAAACTTTTACCACGATAGCACAGCTTCGCCACGATAGCACGGCTTCACCACGATAGCACAGCTTCGCCGCGATAGCACAGCTCCGCCACGATAGCACAGCTTCGCCGCAATAGCACAGCTCCGCCACGATAGCACAGCTTCGCCGCGATAGCACAGCTCCGCCACGATAGCACAGCTTCGCCACGATAGCACAGCTTCGCCACGATAGCACAGCTTCGCCACGATAGCACAGCTTCGCCACGATAGCACAGCTTCGCCACGATAGCACAGCTTCGCCACGATAGCACAGCTTCGCCACGAGATCAAAGTGTATGCGTCTCCCTACAGGAAGTTCCGGTTCACCTGCGAGTGTGCAGCTGGGGCGTCGGGCGCCAGCTGCCAGCTGGGAGGCCTCTGTTCCAGCGACAACCTTCGCAGCTGGTGCTCTGATCACGGCGAGTGTAGGTGAGTACTGACAGTCTCAGTCCCAAGGTGGTCCCCATGGTCTTAGTGGCCCCCCCCAAGGTGGTCCCATGGTCTTAGTGGCCCCCCAAGGTGGTCCCATGGCCTTAGTGGCCCCCCAAGGTGGCCCCCCATGGTCTTAGTGGGCCCCCAAGGTGGCCCCCATGGTCTTAGTGGCCCCCCAAGGTGGTCCCATGATCTTAGAAGCCGAAGGTATTCCCAGTAGTCTCAGGGGCGCCCCCAAAGTGGTAAAAATAGCCTAATTAGCCCCTGGGTAGTCCAACAGCCTTATGAACTCCGAAGAGATCCAGTAGTCTGAGGTCACCCCCGGTGTTCCACTATTCTTATGATCCCCCTGTGGCCCAGTAGTCACAAAAGCCCCCCCCCAAAGTGGCCCACCTGTAGTACACAAGGGGAACCCCACCAGGGGGCAGAAAGCACCCCTGGGAGAGAGAGGGGTCACTAATGCTGAGATTGTTGACCTCATCACAGATACGTGGCAGGGGAGAGTATCTGCGTGTGTGAGGGGGGCTACCGGGGCGCCTCCTGCGAGCATCACTTCACTACCATACCTTCCTATGACAGAAGTTAGTGTCTGTTCCTGACTTGTGAGTGGTCTGCGATACTGGTTAGTGCCTCTACTCTCTCGTCGTCGTGTCGTCCTGAGGGCCTGCGACACTGGTTAGAGCATCTACTCTACTCTCTCTCTCTCTCTCTCTCTCTCTCTCTCTCTCTCTCTCTCTCTCTCTCTCTCTCTCTCTCTCTCTCTCTGTCTTTCTCTCTCTCTCTCTCTCTCTTCTCTCTCTCTCTCTCTCTGTCTCTCTCTCTCTCTCTCTCTCTCTCTCTCTCTCTCTCTCTCTCTCTCTCTCTCTCTCTCTCTCTCTCTCTCTCTCTCTCTCTCTCTCTCTGTCTTATAGAGTACCTTCTCCTCTGTATCTAATGGTTGGCTATATCCACACTAGGTGAGTGGATCAAGGTGCTTAGGATTATATTTTCAGGATCATTGCAACAGCATCTCTCCTTGCAATTCAGGCCTACTGACTCATACAAGGCAGGACTACTAACTCATACAAGGCAGGACTACTGACTCATGTAAGCAAGGCCTACACGCCCATGCAACATAGGCCTACTAGTCCATGCAAGTCAAGTCAAATCTACTAAATCTACTCTCAATTGACCTCACTCATGAATCTGTCTATACCCAATTTTGTTCAAACTTGTCAAGAGAATTACATTGTTTGTTCCACTCGTCTACGACTCTATTGCTAAATCTCAGTTTCATTATATCCTTCACTATATCAAAATTGAACTCTAAAATTATGTTATGAAATCGATTACGATAGTTTCAACACCTTGTTCATAGTCACTTTGTTAACACCTATCATTCATTTAAAGATTTCAGTCGTATAAGGCCAGTCATGTAATTGTACACCTTTTGAAAGAATGCGAATTATAACAGATTATCACAAGTTAAACCAGAGTCATACCGGGCTTGGGGGAGTAGAAGAACACCCAGAAGCCACTCCAGGTATACTCCATATTTAGTCCATTTTCTATATTATCCTGAAAATTAGGATAAACTCTTGTCTTTCTGAGTTGTATGTTTTCAAGAGCATTGACACGGGTGGTGGTGTGTCTGTGACAGCGTGTGGCGGCCTCCTTCAGTGCCACCAGAGCTGTCACCTGCGTGTCGAGGCCCAGGCCAACCTGACCTTCTGCTCCTGCACCGCCGGCTACGTCCCCACCAACGCCACCCACTGCGTCACTCAAGGTGAAATTGAAATTGAAATAGGTTTATTGAGGTAGAATACTACTTGTGAAGGAGGAAATGTACATGTTTATCTCTCAGAATGTTTGGTAACAGGTTTATTGTTTGTGATGTGTGTCTATGTATGTACTAACACGTTGTACTGAACGGGGTGAGAATAGCTTGAGCTACCTCATCCCTTTGTGTGTATTTTACCTCAATAAACTTATTTCAATTTCAATTCAATTTCAATACACACAAAGGGATGAGGTAGCTCAAGCTATTCTCACCCCGTTCAGTACATCGTGTTAGTACATACGTAGACACACATCACAAGCAATAAACGTATTACCGAACATTCTGAGAGATAAACATATACATTTCCTCCTTTACACAAGTCACTCAAGGTGAGGCTGCCAGGATTGTCGGGGCTGAGTGACCTGAGTGTGTCATGGTCCTCCGTGGGCTTTAGAGGGGAACTGTCAAGAGTTTATTGTGCACCTCCATACTCATCCTGTGAGCGGTAGCGCTCACAGGATGAGTATGGGTTAAGACGCAATAATTGTATCATTATCCTTTTGTGTTAATAAATCTCTCTGCTTCTGAGGATGCTAAGCTGAACTCAGCGAAACACATCAGTTTCATTAAAAGCGTGGAATCAGTCTTTTTTTTTTTACCCTTTTTAGCGTCGTTTCGAATGAAAAATCCTGGAAGTACTGAGAAGACTCGTTCCGGAGTCAGTGATGTAGTTCCATAGAATATCTGACAACGAGGCGACTTGTTGCTTTGAAAGTGAAATACAAATCGACGCTGAGGTCAGCAAGTGTGTGTGCACATGACGGCTGCGTGGAGGGGGGGGGGAGGGGGTGTTTAGGAATTGGGTCATCGCTGGAGCATAGGTCAAACTCCAGGGCACAACGTCACGTCAAGGTTGACTTGACGTCCAGCGGAAGGGCAATAGTGTGTGTGTACTGGTGTGTATATGTGTGTGTGTGTGTGTGTGTGTGTGTGTGTGTGTGTGTGTGTGTGTGTGTGTGTGTGTGTGTGTGTGTGTGTGTGTGTGTGTGTGTGTGTGAATTCCATTACTTTTAAACCCGAATTCAATTCCTGTCTGTCCAACAGAGTACTGGGACGTGACTGTAAGGATGAAGATACCTGACGGGCGACTTTACAGTGAAGGAGACGTCCTCAATAAAGTAAGTCTCTCCCAATCCTGTCCACTTGGTACACAGGGAGAGAAAAGTCACCAGATGGTAAGTCTCTTTCCCATTGGAGGGAGAAGTCATCATCGGGTGGGTCAGGGAAGTCATCAACAAGGCTAGGAAAGTCATCATACGTTAGGCCTCATTCCCACCAGTAGGAGTCGTGTTGACATGAGAGATAGAGAGAACCAAAGTAGAGTTTCTAAGAGTATAAAGAACCATCTCCCATCACATCTTATTTCTCACACTTAAGTAGCGGGAGAATGTTGAAGTCACGGACGCCTTGGTGTCTTTCAGACGTTGATGGTGGTAACCGCTGGAGGAGGTGGTGTGGTCGACGCCAGGAACCTCTCCATCACCACTAGGTAAGACATCAATCACTCTTTGAGTCTTTTCAGCGGCGTATTACCTCCTGGGGGGTCGCTAAAGGACTTAGCAGCAAAGGCCATAACTATATGTCTTTGAGGACGTGGGTTTGGGTTACATGGCATCATCACTAACTCAACAAAAATCAATTATTAACGTCAAAACATCAATTAACTCCTGAATTTTCCCATAGATTATAATATTTAAATGCGCTTTTAGGCGAAAAGTAGGGAAGAAACACCCCATTTTTGGAATATAATTAGAAAATGAGGTTTATATTCACCGTTCACAGTAGTAATAGGATGATATTGTCACAGGGCCGGGGAGGTGGAGGTGGAAGTGACGGTGGAGGGGACGGAGGTGGCCGCCCGTCTCACCAGCAGCGACCTATGGCAGCGACAGTTTGGTCCAGTGAAGGTGGAGGCCGCCCGCACGCCCCCGCTCTCACTTGGGGTGAGTCCCACGGCCGGCTCACAAACTCCATTGGAAAGGTTACTTGTACAAACATTGTAACAACATAATGACATTATGTAAAAAAATCAAACCATATTCGTAAAATTTTGAGAGGGCTGAACTCGTTTTCGGCTCAATTCGCCTTCATCAGAGCAAGATAGTCACTCTATTTCTTGCTCTGATGAAGGTGACTTGAGCCGAAAACGTGTTCAGCATTATTTTATTTTTCAAAAGTGGTTTTTCCGCATACTTGGATCATTGTTTTTTGTGATCGTTGTTGTATATATATATATATATATATATATATATATATATATATATATGCAAACAAGCCTGAATGGTCCCCAGGACTATATACAACTGAAAACTCACACCCCAGAAGTGACTCGAACCCATACTCCCACAACTGGTATGTACAGGGACGCCTTAATCCGCTTGACCATCACGACCGGACATAAGGAAGTGATAGCCGAGGCTATATGAACCACTTCCCCGCCGGCACTCGGATGGTAATCTTGGGCATAGCATTTTATCAAATCACCTCATTCTTTGGGGCACACGTGAGGAACACAAATGCAAACAAGCCTGAATGGTCCCCAGGACTATATACAACTGAAAACTCACACCCCAGAAGTGACTCGAACCCATACTCCCACAACTGGTATGTACAGGGACGCCTTAATCCGCTTGACCATCACGACCGGACATAAGGAAGTGATAGCCGAGGCTATATGAACCACTTCCCCGCCGGCACTCGGATGGTAATCTTGGGCATAGCATTTTATCAAATCACCTCATTCTTTGGGGCACACGTGAGGAACACAAATGCAAACAAGCCTGAATGGTCCCCAGGACTATATACAACTGAAAACTCACACCCCAGAAGTGACTCGAACCCATACTCCCACAACTGGTATGTACAGGGACGCCTTAATCCGCTTGACCATCACGACCGGACATAAGGAAGTGATAGCCGAGGCTATATGAACCACTTCCCCGCCGGCACTCGGATGGTAATCTTGGGCATAGCATTTTATCAAATCACCTCATTCTTTGGGGCACACGTGAGGAACACAAATGCAAACAAGCCTGAATGGTCCCCAGGACTATATACAACTGAAAACTCACACCCCAGAAGTGACTCGAACCCATACTCCCACAACTGGTATGTACAGGGACGCCTTAATCCGCTTGACCATCACGACCGGACATAAGGAAGTGATAGCCGAGGCTATATGAACCACTTCCCCGCCGGCACTCGGATGGTAATCTTGGGCATAGTGCCCGCGTGCCGGCGGGGAAGTGGTTCATATAGCCTCGGCTATCACTTCCTTATGTCCGGTCGTGATGGTCAAGCGGATTAAGGCGTCCCTGTACATACCAGTTGTGGGAGTATGGGTTCGAGTCACTTCTGGGGTGTGAGTTTTCAGTTGTATATAGTCCTGGGGACCATTCAGGCTTGTTTGCATTTGTGTTCCTCACGTGTGCCCCAAAGAATGAGGTGATTTGATAAAATGCTATGCCCAAGATTACCATCCGAGTGCCGGCGGGGAAGTGGTTCATATAGCCTCGGCTATCACTTCCTTATGTCCGGTCGTGATGGTCAAGCGGATTAAGGCGTCCCTGTACATACCAGTTGTGGGAGTATGGGTTCGAGTCACTTCTGGGGTGTGAGTTTTCAGTTGTATATAGTCCTGGGGACCATTCAGGCTTGTTTGCATTTGTGTTCCTCACGTGTGCCCCAAAGAATGAGGTGATTTGATAAAATGCTATGCCCAAGATTACCATCCGAGTGCCGGCGGGGAAGTGGTTCATATAGCCTCGGCTATCACTTCCTTATGTCCGGTCGTGATGGTCAAGCGGATTAAGGCGTCCCTGTACATACCAGTTGTGGGAGTATGGGTTCGAGTCACTTCTGGGGTGTGAGTTTTCAGTTGTATATAGTCCTGGGGACCATTCAGGCTTGTTTGCATTTGTGTTCCTCACGTGTGCCCCAAAGAATGAGGTGATTTGATAAAATGCTATGCCCAAGATTACCATCCGAGTGCCGGCGGGGAAGTGGTTCATATAGCCTCGGCTATCACTTCCTTATGTCCGGTCGTGATGGTCAAGCGGATTAAGGCGTCCCTGTACATACCAGTTGTGGGAGTATGGGTTCGAGTCACTTCTGGGGTGTGAGTTTTCAGTTGTATATAGTCCTGGGGACCATTCAGGCTTGTTTGCATTTGTGTTCCTCACGTGTGCCCCAAAGAATGAGGTGATTTGATAAAATGCTATGCCCAAGATTACCATCCGAGTGCCGGCGGGGAAGTGGTTCATATAGCCTCGGCTATCACTTCCTTATGTCCGGTCGTGATGGTCAAGCGGATTAAGGCGTCCCTGTACATACCAGTTGTGGGAGTATGGGTTCGAGTCACTTCTGGGGTGTGAGTTTTCAGTTATATATATATATATATATATATATATATATATATATATATATATATATATATATATATATATATATATATATATATATATATATATATATATATATATATTATTAAATATGACCGAAAAAGTAAGATTAATAATTCTAACACGAATTTTCTCATAGACTAGAAATAAAAATGAATTTTGGAGAATTGATTTTCGATTTACCTCCAACAGTGAAGCATAATGTACGAAAGATTGAGAAAATTCGTGTTAGAATTATTAATCTTACTTTTTCGGTCATATTTAATAATATATGTCTACAGGAAAGACTGCTACCAAAATATACTAATATATATATATATATATATATATATATATATATATATATATATATATATATATATATATATATATATATATATATATATAGGTCTGAGTAAAAAAGGAAGGGGGTGGTAGGAGAAAAGCACACAGAAACTGTATTGGAGGGGATCTAAACATTCCCTCTAATGCGTTATGCGTGGTTTCCTCCGAGGCTATGGGTCCCCCTTCTTCCAGCTAGAGGTGGTACTCCCTTCCATATATATAAAAAAAAAAAATATATATATATATATATATATATATATATATATATATATATATATATATATATATATATATATATATATATATATATATGTCGTACCTAGTAGCCAGAACTCACTTTTCAGCCTACAATGCAAGGCCCGATTTGCCTAATAAGCCAAGTTTTCAAGAATTAATATATTTTCTCTAATTTTTTTCTTATGAAATGGTAAAGCTACCCATTTCATTATGTATGAGGTCAATTTTTTTTATTGGAGTTAAAATTAACGTAGATATATGACCGAACCTAACCAACCCTACCTAACCTAACCTAACCTATCTTTATAGGTTAGGTTAGGTTAGGTAGCCGAAAAAGTTAGGTTAGGTTAGGTTAGGTAGGTTAGGTAGTCGAAAAGCAATTAATTCATGAAAACTTGGCTCATTAGGCAAATCGGGCCTTGCATAGTAGGCTCAGAAGTGAGTTCTGGCTACTAGGTACGACATATATATATATATATATATATATATATGTCGTACCTAGCAGCCAGAACGCACTTCTCAGCCTACTATGCAAGGCCCGATTTACCTAATAAGCCAAGTTTTCATGAATTAATTATTTTTCGACTACCTAACCTACCTAACCTAACCTAACCTAACTTTTTCGGCTACCTAACCTAACCTAACCCACAAGGATAGGTTAGGTTAGGTTAGGTTAGGTAGGGTTGGTTAGGTTCGGTCATATATCTACGTTAATTTTAACTCCAATAAAAAAAAATTGGCCTCATACATAATGAAATGGGTAGCTTTTTCATTTCATAAGAAAAAAAATAGAAAAAATATATTAATTCAGGAAAACTTGGCTTATTAGGCAAATCGGGCCTTGCATAGTAGACCGAGAAGTGCATTCTGGCTACTAGGTACGACATATATATATATATATATATATATATATATATATATATATATATATATATATATATATATATATATATATATATATAACTGAAAACTCACACCCCAGAAGTGACTCGAACCCATACTCCCACAACTGGTATGTACAGGGACGCCTTAATCCGCTTGACCATCACGACCGGACATAAGGAAGTGATAGCCGAGGCTATATGAACCACTTCCCCGCCGGCACTCGGATGGTAATCTTGGGCATAGCATTTTATCAAATCACCTCATTCTTTGGGGCACACGTGATATATATATATATATATATATATATATATGACAATGTCAGACCACGGAGGAAAATGAAACAGGAGTTTCCTTAAGTACTTTCGTATATTAAATACATCTTCAGAAGGAATCTTCAGAAGGAATATATATATATATATATATATATATATATATATATATATATATATATATATATATATATATATATAGGGAGTACCACCTCTAGCTGGAAGAAGGGGGACCCATAGCCTCGGAGGAAACCACGCATAACGCATTAGAGGGAATGTTTAGATCCCCTCCAATACAGTTTCTGTGTGCTTTTCTCCTACCACCCCTTCCTTTTTTATAAATATATATATATATATATATATATATATATATATATATATATATATATATATATATATATATATATATATATATATATATATTTATATATATATATATATTTACTAGACGGGGTACCTGGTGATGTCTGGGTCTCGCAGCCTCCTTCCCTTTCTTGCTGTCTCTTTCCCTTTCCGTCCCTCTCTCACAATCTCCTCCCTCTTCCCCCCTCCCTTCTCTTCTTACCCCCTACTCCCCTTTCTCCCCCTCTTCTTCCTTCTTCTCCATCTCCATCCCTCTTCCTCCAACTCTTTACCACCTTTTCCATCTTTCAAAATTGACTGTGGATAATAAGTTACAATAATTAGTTAGTTTAGTTCATTTATTATGCACCCCATACCCATTTTGTGGGTGGTAGTGAAAAGGGTTACACAGGCACATGATGGGCTCAGGAACTGAGTGACACTTTGGCACTGTCTAATAATTGTTCGACAACATATGTTGATAATTATCAATATTGAATGCTCATATTACTTTTTTATTTTATTTTAGTGTAAATAATAATCATTAGCCATTTAAATTGAAATGTTATACTCCATCTCACCTTTTTTTCATGAAATATTAAGTATTAATGTGTGGTCAATTATTCACCCCCATAACCCCCCCCCCACCCAACCACTATCAATACCCCCCCTCTTTCCTCAACAACATTTCCTCCCCCCTTCAACACCAATCCACCCCCCCCTCACCCCTGTGCTCCCCCCTCATCTCTGTCCACCCCTTCAACTCTGTCCACCCCCTCACCACTGTCCACCTTCCTTTTACATCTGTCCACCCCCTCATGGAGGCAGCCCGTGACGGCGGAGTGGGAGGAGGGGTCGGTGCTGGTGTTGACCTGCCCTGTGTATGGCGGTCCCTTGCTGGCTGTCTCCTGGTTCAAGGACGGATCACTAGTCTACAGTCACGCCGTCCCTTACTGGTGAGGCCCTGTGCTTGCCTCCCCTGCCTGGTGTGGTGCCTGTGCTTGCTTCATCTGCCTGGTGTGGTGCCTGTGCTTGCTTCATCTGCCTGGTGTGGTGCCTGTGCTTGCTTCATCTGCCTGGTGTGGTCCCTGTGCTTGCTTCATCTGCCTGGTGTGGTGCCTGTGCTTGCTTCATCTGCCTGGTGTGGTCCCTGTGCTTGCTTCATCTGCCTGGTGTGGTGCCTGTGCTTGCTTCATCTGCCTGGTGTGGTCCCTGTGCTTGCTTCATCTGCCTGGTGTGGTGCCTGTGCTTGCTTCATCTGCCTGGTGTGGTGCCTGTGCTTGCTTCATGTGCCTGGTGTGGTCCCTGTGCTTGTTACACCTGCCTGGTGTGGTGCCTGTGCTTGCTTCATCTGCCTGGTGTGGTCCCTGTGCTTGCTTTATCTGCCTGGTGTGGTGCCTGTGCTTGCTTCATCTGCCTGGTGTGGTGCCTGTGCTTGCTTCATCTGCCTGGTGTGGTGCCTGTGCTTGTTACACCTGCCTGGTGAGGCCCTGTGATTGCCTGACCTGCCTGGTGTGGTCTCTGTGCTTGCTTGACCTGCCTTTTGAGGCCCTGTGCTTGCTTGACCTGCCTTTTGAGGCCCTGTGCTTGCTTCCCCTGCCTGCCAAAGCCTTCTGCTTGCTTGCCAATATATAAAAGTACAATTTTCCTTCAGAATAATATCTTGAGTTATTGTGAATGAAAACTCAACAGTTATTTGTGTAGAATTTTTTAAACCTTTTAATTCTATAGCAATGAACTTTCAACACTGGTTATACCTCAGTTTCAACAGACATACAATTTAACAGGATCAAGGAAGGTTTTGTTCATGTTTGTTGAAGAGAAGAACATGAAGAAACGGTAGAACATGTCCACGGCCTGCCTAGATCGGCCGCGGATATGTTCTCCGCTGCTCTTCTGTTCTCCAAACAGGAACAAAAATATGCTAGATCGTAGCATATTTTTCGTAGCAGATCTAGCGTCTGCTAGACCATACAGCAGACGTAGAACTTTTCTGGGTGAACAGTGATATGGGAATGATACCGAATGAACTTTGAACTGATAGTACAGTTCAAATGATCATTGCAACATGTGCCATCACGAGCCGTCTGCATTGAACTGTGCAACGTGCATGTCAACACAGCACATGACTATGTCCATGAAGGTTTGTGTAGGCTTTAAAGTTGACCTCTGTATTCATGTCAGAGTGACTACACTCCTTCAGCTTCTTGTGTCAAGCGTTGGGTCAGACAACTGTTTCTTCAACTTCTTGTGTGAAGCTTTGGTCCAGAAAACTATATTTCTTCAACTTCTTGTGTCAAGTTTTGGTTCAGACAAACCATGACAAAACCGCTTAACCCCTAATTAAATTATAACAACACCAGCGGCAAGCTGTGACTCAAAACTCTGACGCACGCGCGTTTATCAGCTCCCTCCAGGAAAGAACTCGACGCGTCCAGCTGTTGGCCAAGCCTGGCGCGGCGGACCACGAGTGTTCCATCATGTTGATCGTCACCCACGCCCTGAGGGAGGACCTGGGCACCTACGTCTGCCAGGTGGCTGACCGGGGCTACCTGGCCTCGCAGGTGGTCATGGCCGGCAGGAACCAGTCGCTCCAGCTGGATATATTTCCCCGGGTCCGCACCGTCTTCCAGGTGGGTACATGATTCGTCTTGATTGTGTTTGGTGTGAGTGTGTGTGTGTGTGGTTGATGAGTGCGTTGATGAATGTGTGGTTCAGCGTGTGTGGTTCAGCGTGTGTGGTTCAGCGTGTGTGGTTCAGCGTGTGTGGACCGGAATGTGGGGTCTAGAGTGCAGTCATGTGAATACTGGTGAACGTTCTCCTGCAGGGGGAAGCAGCGAAGTTCGAGTGCAGCACGAGGAACCGCCGGTGGGCAGACCCCCGCCACTACACGGCCCACTGGCTCCTGCACCCCGCCCACGCCCACACCAACATCACGCCCATACACAGGACGGGGTCCTCTCTCACTATCTTCAACCTCACGGTACGTATTGTCTGAACACCCGCGGACGTTGTGGCGCTGGTAACACACACACACACGCACACACACACACACACACACACACACACACACACAAGTTCAAGTTAGGGGGGACATGATCACCACATTCAAGATTCTCAAGGGAATCGACAGGGTTGATAAAGATAGGCTATTTAACACAAGGGGCACACGCACTAGGGGACACAGGTGGAAACTGAGTGCCCAAATGAGCCACAGAGATATTAGAAAGAACTTTTTTAGTGTCAGAGTGGTTGACAAATGGAATGCATTAGGAAGCAATGTGGTGGAGGCTGACTCCATACACAGTTTCAAGTGTAGATATGATAGAGCCCAATAGGCTCAGGAACCTGTACACCTGTTGATTGACGGTTGAGAGGCGGGACCAAAGAGCCAGAGCTCAACCCCCGCAAGCACAACTAGGTGAGTACAACTAGGTGAGTACACACACACACACACACACACACAGAGTGGTTGAGAGGCAGGACCAAAGAGCCAGAGCTCAACCCCCGCAAGCACAACTAAGTGAGTACGCACACAGTTATTATTGTGTGTGTGTGTGGGGAGGGAGGGGGTCGATTTTCAGTCTTTAGTAAAGTAGCCACAGAAAGCAACAAGGAGCCCAGGAACATAAAACAAGAGGGGCCTCAACATTACCTACATGTGTAAACTAGTGACCTGAAGCCCCCTAGACCATACAGAGAGGCCTCAACATCACCTACATGTGTAAACTAGTGAGCTGAAGCCCCCTAGACCATACGGAGAGGCCTCAACATCACCTGCATGTGTAAACTAGTGACCTGAAGCCGCCTAGACCATACAGAGAGGCCTCAACATCACCTGCATGTGTAAACTAGTGACCTGAAGCCGCCTAGACCATACAGAGAGGCCTCAACATCACCTGCATGTGTAAACTAGTGACCTGAAGCCGCCTAGACCATACAGAGAAGCCTCAACATCACCTGCATGTGTAAACTAGTGACCTGAAGCCGCCTAGACCATACAGAGAGGCCTCAACATCACCTGCATGTGTAAACTAGTGACCTGAAGCCGCCTAGACCATACAGAGAGGCCTCAACATCACCTGCATGTGTAAACTAGTGACCTGAAGCCGCCTAGACCATACAGAGAGGCCTCAACATCACCTGCATGTGTAAACTAGTGACCTGAAGCCGCCTAGACCATACAGAGAGGCCTCAACATCACCTGCATGTGTAAACTAGTGAGCTGAAGCCCCTAGACCATACAGAGAGGCCTCAACATTACCTACATGTGTAAACTAGTGACCTGAAGCCCCCTAGACCATACAGACACTGAAGTATAACTGTTCTTCAGCAGCAGTCGCTTAACGTGACGTGCATCATGACGGAAGAGAAGGGACTGATGTGGACCCCAGTGGACGAGGACGGAGAGGTGGCCTCCACCGTGGCGGTGGTGCACGTCCTCGCCCCTGGCGCCCTCGCCTGCCACGACGACCTGGCGTACGGCGTCTCCTGGCGACTCACCCCGGTTAGTATAGTGATCCTGAAGGATTGTAAATGAAAATCCTGAATCCCACCTCCACTCAACGGCATTTTGATTTTAAGCACTTGCAAGACGGTAAACAATGGGATCCTTGTTTACAATGATCCCATTGTAATGTTTACAATGTTTCTTGTGGCGTTGTATTCTACAAAGCCTCTAGTTGTTGCAGTCTTCAAGCCTCTACAAGAATGCAAAGTGGCATTCTGCAAAGCCTTTAACACGCGTAGCTGGATTTATTCCGTTGTTTTGCTCAGCTGTTGCTCACCTTTCATTAGGATTATATAATGTACTGCGTGGTAGCGACTCTGTGAATACCTTTGTTGCTCTGATGCTCATGGAGGATCTTAGCCACCTTCTGTGGTAGTTTCCTCGCGGCGTTCGCCTCCTGCCGGAGGGATGTTCAAATGTCCAGTGGTTCATTTCTGGATCTAAACGAGGAGCATAACTGTACCAATGGCTTATCACTCAGCTCATGAGTTAAAAATTACTTCTTCTTTTTTTACGCTTATATTAAGCAAACATAGATTAGTCAATACGCACAGAGATCACACTAACGTGTTGCATCAAATGAACAAATCCACAAGGGCCGTGACGCGGATTCGAACCTGCGTCCGGGAGCATCCCAGACAGATTAAGGCAGTGTCTGGGATGCTCCCGGACGCAGGTTCGAATCCTCGTCACGGCCCCTTGTGGATTTGTTCATAGATTAGTCGAAATGTAAACACTGTAAGTGGCCATGAGAATATATATTAGCGCGCATGACGTAGTGTAGCAATGACACAAGAAGGTGGTGGGGGGCTAGATTTACTTTACTTTTTATAGGCTGAGGAGCGGTACGTGGCGCCGTGTCCTGATGACTACGGAGGCACGGCGGCTACTCGCCCGTGCCTGCTGCTTCAGCGCCCTGACGTGCCTCCTGACGGTGGGTCTCTCACCACTCCTAACTCGTCGGAATTCTCTGGTTTACAACCCTCCTGGGACCTTCCGGACTTCTCAGAGTGCCTTTATCGGCCACTCGAGTATATCACGAGGGTGAGATAGACCTTCTCTCGAGGTGCTGCTTGTAAATATGTGTTAAGGAAAATTATATTAAAAGTTAACTTACTTAAGAGTCAGCCTTTCTGTGTAATTGTTGAAACATTTTTCTTATACAGGAAGTATAGAAATACTGTATTTAATTTTTGCTTCAATTATATTCACTTAAAGTAGTGCATCATACGGGTAATAAATTAGCCTGCATGCATAAATTTAGTATTCAGTTATAAATATAAATAAATGTGTATTTATAAATAATAATAAATAAATGTTTATTTAGGTAAAGTACATACATACAAGAGATTTTACAAAGATTGATGGAATTATAGATAGAGCTAGTACATACAGTGCCTAAAGCCACTATTACGCCAAGCGTTTCGGGCATAAATCGTGAGTGAAATCTATCATCTGAGTGAATAATTAGTTAATCATCTCAGTTAATCTATCGTGAGTGAACAGGTGTTTAAAGAACACGTTTAAAGCACACAGTTGTTCATTACATAGTTCCCCGACTCTGCCTCATCTAGCCGCTCTACTACTATAAGAGAGGCTTCAGCTCCCTGCCTGAAGACCTGGAGAGTCTGGCGAAGGATGTCCTCAAGATCCTGCAGGAGAGGGTCTCGCCCGTGCTTCCAGGTGAAGGCGCCAGCATCCTCAACATCCTGGAGATGTTTGAAGCATCAGATCGTCTCATCTCCCTGTCTGTGTTCCTTAGCATCCTCCAGACGGTGGTTCGTCAGAAGAACGCCCTCTCCTTCGCTGTGAGTTTCGTAAAAAGTTTACTCTTTTGGGAAATAGAAAAATGTATATTATATTGTTAAATTTCTTAAGCCCAAAGGGGTCACTCTGCCTACATCTCAGTTCCATTGATGAAAGAGGTGTTACCTGTAATATTTTCACTGGAGCTCCTATGAGGCTGTCGACTATTTGCAGTGTTGAGGTAATTAATATATTATGATAGTGAGCGTCCAATTCCACTAGTATCTCCTCTCTTCACAAAACGGGCGCCGTCACGATACGACTCCACAACAAAGGTGGTTCACACAGGCTGTCTTTCAGTAATATCTCACATGTCTCAGGACTCCTCGGTGAATTTGGCCAGAGTGTTAAAGGGGAGAAGGGAGGCTTAAGCATTGGTTTCACATATCTTAAGGCGCTGGAACTATTTACAAAACATGTTATCGTGTAGAACAGATTCAACACTTAATCTATGGAATGTCTTCAAGGAAAACTACCTTCCAGCAGGCCAGCTGGAGGATGCTGGAAGTTACCAGGAAACACATGAGGGCTATCGTAGCGTCTTCCTTGAGCGAAAGAGAGGTCAAGACAGAGGAAGTCAACCTCCCAGACTTGACAGCAAAAGTGGCCTGTCTTGGACGTCAGCAGCTTATTACAACACTGGATACACAACACATTTCTTTTAAACAGGAAGGGTAATTATGACTGAAAATGTGTTGGCTATTATCATCTACAGTTTTAATTTAAGACAAATTGAAAGCCATTATAAATTTGTCATTTGTTGGCATCGAACCAGAGAATTGTGGAGTCGAACAACATTATGAGTGAATTAATTGCAATTAAATTATTTCCAAACCTGCAGAGAGAAGATATCCCTGGTGAGGGTACTGGTGAAGGCGGTGCCGGAGGGCAGACCGCGGCCGGGGAAGCTGATATCACAAGAGGTACACCAGGAAGTGATGGAGGGAGAGAAGCTATGGAGCAAGAGAGGCCCTCAGAGACTTCAATACTTACAGGGAGAGAAGATCTCCGCAGAATGGGAGGGCCTTAAGAAGGTGCAGCAACAGCAACAACAGCAGAAGCAGCAAGAACAGGAAGAGCAACAGCAGGAGCAGCAGCTGAAGCAGCAAGAACAGGAAGAGCAACAGCAGGAGCAGCAGCTGAAGCAGCAAGAACAGGAAGAGCAGCAGCTGAAGCAGCAGTCAGAGGCGTCGGTGGGGATATTAGCGTTTTTACACTCCAACAACTTCCCCGCCACCAGCCCTCATCACATGTTCAGGTATAGTTCCACCGTCTCGCTTCATACAGGCCGGCGTTCAATTCCCGACCGTCCAAGTGGTTGGGTACCATTCCTTTCCCCCGTCCCATCCCAAATACTTATCCTGGTCCCTTCCCAGTGCTATATAGTCGTAATGGCTTGGCGCTTTCCCTTGATAATTCCCTCCCTCCCTATAAAATCATTCTATTCAATCATTCTCCGCAACATTCTACACGTTATTATCACTGAAAGAACATCTGACACATTTTCTTATTAATATATTTGCCAGCATTAAAACCTCATGCTTTCAGCTTGAAGTTTTCCGGTCCACCGCGAGGTAAACACCGTAACAAAGATGACTTTATAAGGAGATACTCGTGGTCTGTGTTGCTATCTGTGTTCAGGAAGGTCTCTGTGCCACTCTCCGGTGCTAATTAAAATATCTTTGTGTGAATGTTATGAATATCGCTTTCCTCAGGGATGGGAGAAGGGAGGTTGTGACGGTAGCGGCCCCGCTGGTGATGGTGGTGGAGCACCACGATGATGTGTCCACCGTACGAGCCGGGGCGTCAGGAGCCGCAGAGACCGCCCACACCACCCTCACCAACTTCAGCATTGTGTCACGTCTCATTTACTCCTGCCCAGAATCATCTCTCCAGATTGAGAAGTAAATCTTCGAACTGATATGAACTGAGAAATTGGTAGTCTATCTTACTGCTGCGTTAACTAATCAACATAACTATCACAATTCAACAATTTGCAGTTGAAAAGATGATTCCACACCATCAATATGACTCGCGTATAGCGCATTCTTCGTCAACAGGGAGAAAGGGTGGATGGCTGCGTGCGGCCTCGCCAGGGTGGATGAGGGAGCCATCCACTGGGACCTGACACTATGCTCCCTACTGAAGGCCGAAGCAGGTGGCACCCATCACCACAGCAGCGACACTGCTACACGGAGGTGTGAGTGCCAGTGCCGTGGTCAGGGGCTCTTCACGCTTCTCCTGGTTCGAGCAACAACTCCAGAAGTACTGCAGGTTAGATCCTTACTATGTATGACCAAATTGTTATGGTTTTTTAAGGCATTGAATTTTCTGATCTGATATCAAAGTAACGCTTTGTGATGGGTACTCAGGAGGATTCCGCCGGCCCGCGGCGGAAGGAAAGGCTGAGTGTAGCGGTGAGCTGCGTGCTGTCTGCAGCTGCGACGGTGGTGTGTGCGCTGCTGTTGGTCCCCAGAGCCGCCCTCACGACGGTCCAGCTGCGGCTCCTCAAGTGTCTGGCTCTCACCGCTCTCAACCTCACCTTCGCCGTCTTCTCCGTGTGGCCCACCTCACAGGTCAGTATAGAACCTCACCTTCGCCGTCTTCTCCGTGTGGCCCACCTCACAGGTCAGTATAGAACCTCACCTTCGCCGCCTTATCCGTGTGGCCCACCTCACAGGTCAGTATAGAACCTCACCTTCGCCGTCTTCTCCGTGTGGCCCACCTCACAGGTCAGTATAGAACCTCACCTTCGTCGCCTTATCCGTGTGGCCCACCTCACAGGTCAGTATAGAACCTCACCTTCGCCGTCTTCTCCGTGTGGCCCACCTCACAGGTCAGTATAGAACCTCACCTTCGCCGCCTTATCCGTGTGGCCCATCTCACAGGTCAGTATAGAACCTCACCTTCGCCGCCTTATCCGTGTGGCCCACCTCACAGGTCAGTATGGAACCTCACCTTCGCCGCCTTCTCCGTGCGGCCCACCTCACAGGTCAGTAGACGATGGTGATGCCCTCACTATGTGGCCCATTTCATAACTTTTTAAACTGACGTTTCAGAGCCAGTCACAAACCATGTGAGAATACAAAATAGTAATAATAGGCATCCTCGAGGCTGTTCAGATGTACCTTTTGGCAGGTATTTTCAGTGTCCATGAAACAAATGTGTCACTAGCTGCTAGTTCAGGATCAGATCTTATTGTGACACACATTATCACGCTGGAGAAAAAGCTTATAACCTTAAATGAAATCAATAAATCCTCACTACACGTCAAATACGATGTCTTACTAAGTTACGTCTCACTAAGTTACCTCCGCCTCCAGAGGCATTTTCTATACCGTTCAGAATTCATCTCCTGTCGAGGACAGTAGAGATGTTGGCTCTCAGGTAAATAATCGTTAGAGTATCTGTTATTGACTGACTCAGTATCTGACTCACTCTACTGAATACGTCGTCAACCTGCTTCCAACTGGAGCTGTGAAAGAGCACTTGTTGACGGAGGCATCACCAACACCTCGCTTGTACCTGTCAGGTTATTCACTGCTAACATGTAGGTTAGTTCCCTTGATATAGGTCAATTAGGTCAACTAGTTTCCTTGATATAGAATAGTTAGTGCCCTTGATAGAGAACAGTTATAGGTGCCTTTATATAGATCAGTTAGTTTTCTTGATATAGATCAGTTAGTTTTCTTGATATAGAACAGTTAGTTTTCTTGATAGAACAGTCAGTTTTTTTATATAACAGTGTGTTTTCTTGATAGAAAAGTAAGTTTTCTTGACAGAACAGTTAGTTTTTTGATAGAACAGTTAGTTTTCTTGACAGAACAGTTAGTTTTTTGATAGAACAGTTAGTTTTCTTGACAGAAAAGTTAGTTTTGTTGATAGAACAATTAGTTCCCATGCTATAGAATCCCTTGAATTCCCTTGATATATGTCCTTAACATATTCTCCTCTCCTGGCCGGTGGCCCGGGCAGGTGGTGCACGAGGGCGTGCTGGTGACGGGAAGCTCGTGTCTGGTGCTCTGTGTGGGCGTGGGCGGCAGTCAGCAGATGGCTCTGCACCAGCAACTGGCCATCACCACCCACACCACGCCCATATCACCCACCCACACCACCACCATCGTCGTGCTGGGTGCGTCACTTGCTGCCTTGGGCGGGACGGATTCACGAACTCACGGATTCACGGATTCACGAGAACCCCTTACACGAACCACTTACAAGATCCGAGGAGGCAGGATTCATCAAGCACTTACACAACTACTTACGATACCTGTACATCTTTCCTCAATCATGGCGGCTGTGTTTTCATTTATTCAACAGTTTATGAGCTCCGAAACGCTGCGACGTTGTTTATAACTATAATAACACTGGGTTTCAAAATTTCCAAGCTGTTTAATGTAAACAATGCCGCCAAGACTGCAAAAGATGTACAGGTTTCGCAAGTGTTTGCGTAAATTCTTGGGAAATCCTGCCTCTGCTCCTCTCACCTCGATCTCGGTAGATAAGTCTGAATTCATTAGTCAATTTACGAGCCCTCAAGCGCTACGAGGTCGCCCTCAACCCCTGATTATCCTTGTTCCGGACGACCTCGTAATGCCTCAGAGCTCGTAATGCCTCGGAGCTCGTAATGCCTTGGAGCTCGTAATGCCTCGGAGCTCGTAACCTGGGTAGCAAATACTACGCTAGCCACGAGGTACAAATCTTATAAGTGGACACGCAAATGCTATTTAATTCCTTCTGAAATGGGTCCAATCTCCTTGAACATAACTTTATAGTTGAATTTGAATTTTGACATCGAAATAATGATAAAAAACATATTCGAGATATGTTATATGAGCTAATAAGTCTTTAAACTTTACTGATTGCAGTGGGATCATGCTTGATGGGGCTTGGGGTGTGGGGGGTGCAGCGCCTCTGCCGCTACCAGCTAGGGGATCCCTGGCTGCCCCTAGGGGACGCTAGGGGACTGACTGCGGCCGTGTTGGGCTTCCTGGTGGCTGTGACCCTCCTGCTGGCAGCGCTAACGGGCCATAACCTCAGGAAGATTGCTGTTATCAAGGCGGCGACCCGCGACCACCGGAGCGTCGCCCTGATGTAAGTCTCGTCCTAGTAACCGCGATTAACATCTGACTATCCCCCTGATAGATATTAAATTAGGTATCATTAACATCTATGATTAACATCAAACTGGCCAAAGCTGCCCTATTATCTCATTTGCCATGATTAGCATGTCATTTATTATAGCTCATAGTACACCATAATTAGTTTTCAATCTACCATCATCTCGTGAAATGAACTGTTACCGGATCCTTCTGTTATGCATTTTTCCTATAATCATTCTACATCCGTCTGTGGAGTTGATATTTTACATGGATTTTTATATTCACCAATTTTGTGCATTGTTAAGAGGACAACTTTTACGTTTTAATACCCTATTCTTTATATTTAAAGTGACCACAGCTATCTCTAAACTATTTACACTGAATATTCAGTCGATTCACTATCGGCCCAGTTTGCTGGAACGAAAGATTCACCCAGGCATGAGTATCTAGTGAGAACGACCAGCTATCGTTACTGAACAACCAACAACCACAACATACAACCTCTTCACCCCTTTCTCATCCCCTCCTTCTTTCTCATCCATCCTGCCGGTATGGCCCCCTCTCCCTTCACTCCCTCCCACCGTCATCCTCCCTTTCCGCTTATAAACACGCTAATTGTTTATACACGCCCTCACTTTTTTTCACGACCAAAGATCACATTCGCGGCAAAAAATCTACCAGTAGTAGTAGTAGTAGGCATCCATCAGTCTCAGGAGACTATGGAGTTGCGCTCTGGTTGTCGGTCTGGAGTGGCCTCACCAGGGCGCAAAGCCAGGGTAGGTTGATTCAGGGAAGAAGCTGTTACCCAGGCAGCAGGTCCCCCCTCTCTCCACGGCGCTGAAAGTCTCCAATGGAAAGGCATACGCCAATACGATTGGTAATCGTATTGGCGTAAATCTACCACTTACGAGCTATTCATGCCCGTGCCACCTCTTGGGGGTGGCTTAATCTTCATCAATCATCAATCAATCTCTCTCAGTGTTGTTGAACAGATGCGAACGTGTGTGGCAGCTGGCGATGGTTGTGGTTGGCGAGTGGTTGGTCATCACTACCAGCCTGGTCCAGCACCACCACCTCGGACGGCATTTCTTCTGCCTGGCTACCCTCGCTCAGGTAAAACCAAAGCGCACACACACACACACACACACACACACACACACACACACACACACACACACACACACACACACAATGTTAAATAAACTCAAGGGGCAACAGCTTCTATAAGTCACAATGTAGGACAAGCAAGGAAAAGATGCATTTTAATCCATATAGGTAATAAACTCATTGACTCGTCTGCATACTGAAGCCGTAAAAGCCAAAACAGAACTCTAGTTCAAAATTCTCAAGAATAATGCAGTTGAATTCAAATAAGTTACCTGCTTCCTGTCTCCGTCGAGGCCACTAGGCTTCCTCGGGTAAACTCAGGTAAACTATCATTCTCAACTCTAAAATAATAAATACAGCTCACTTATATTTGATGATTACATCAAACTAACTCTTGTAGGTAAATATAAAGGTAAGGTTAACAAAAGGTAAATATTAAGGCATACCCTCCGTCACTCCCACACCTGCATGAAAACAAGGTTTTTGCATATGTGAGATCTCATAATTTTCTTTCTCCCTAAGGGCGCCCTGGTCCTGGTAACGAACACGTGTACCAACGACGACGTTATTGGTATGGTGTGGTGTCGCCGTGGGAGTCTCGCCTGCGACCCACCACCTCAGGAAGGTAGAATTACTCATCTAATAACTTCATGTTGCGAAGGTCTCATCTCTGGAAGAAATATGCCATAACTTCTCTTTGATTACAGATGTTCTCGATTCCTTACTTATAAGATAGTAATAATAGTAAAACTTAATATGTGAGCAGCTACATTATTAAATATGTAATATCTTTGTCCGGCAGAAGAGGGCGTGTTAAGTACTGTGGGTGTCCAGCAGAATGGCTGTATGGAGGGACTGGTGGCCTGTAGGATTTCCTCTCTTAGAAAATACGAGAGCATTCCGGAAAGAGAATATAGCCATCTCAAAGACGATGTCTCGGAATTTCGAACTCGCGGGGGCTCCTTCTGGTCGCAGACGACGACAACAATGATGCTTCCGGAGAGCGAGATCGTACACTCCCCTACAGACCCTCTTGGTCCCTTTTCCCATCGCCTGATGGAGCCCAGGATCCACCTTCATCGCATCCTGGAACCCAAGACCCTCCTGCCGCTCTACGCCCGTGGCAGCAGCACGGGCACCGCTGGCGACAACCGACCCAGGAACCTGTTTCTTCGGGGCAGCAGCTTGGTGAGTGGGGAAGACACATCGAGTCCTCAGGATATTCTAAGTGTCTCTTCGCTGGTCTATGAAGCGATGGATGCCCGGATGCTGGAGCAGAAGAGGAATATGTCATTCAATGTACATCATCCTGTTATTCACGAGCTGCCTCAAAACCAACGTCTGGTCAACTCATCAAAGCAACTCGCACTTCATCAACGCCTGGACAGAATCCCATCCAGAAATTATCTGAATATGTCATTATCTAAACACAGAAACTGTTCAAAAGGAGAAAATATGCAATCAACCAAAGACACGAAAGAGACTGATGCAAGAAGATACATGAACATTGAAAATGGCGACCCAGGGAGCTGTCACGTGACTGTCAGTAAGACTGCGGCTTGTTATGCTAACACGGAGATCACCAACACTTGCCAGGGTGGTAGTGAGCAGAGCAACTTCAACCATAGCTATCTGCCCATGGCCGGGAAGGGGAAAAGGCAGAATATACAGACACATTGCTTAAGGCGAATCAATGACAACTCGACACTACATCGACAACGAATCAAAGCATTGGGTGACACACACATGGTCACGGACGAACAACGAACATGTAGTGCAGAACAATCCCAGTCACCAATCACGGAATTCTATCCCCAATCACCAGACACATTGATCTACTCCCAGACGCTAGACACATCAATCTACTCCCAGATGCTAGACACATCGATCTACTCCCAGACGCTAGACACATCGATCTACACCCAGACGCCAGACACATCAATCTACTCCCAGACGCTAGACACATCGATCTACTCTCAAGTGCCAGACACATCGATCTACACCCAAACACTAGACACATCAATCTACACCCAGACGCTAGACACATCGATCTACTCCCAGACGCCAGACACATCAATCTACTCCCAGACGCTAGACACATCGATCTACGCCCAGCAACAAGCGTCAGCAATACAAAAATGCAATGATAATCCGGCTTCGTTAGAAGCTGATTCTGGACATAGTCCAGATGAACATATTTATAGCTATTTGGAGATCCCGGAAGCCAACAGTAATACCTCACCATCAGTGATTCGCTCTTCACCATCACCATCTCAGTGCTCACCATCAGCATCTCAGTGCTCACCATCAGCATCTCACTGCTTCTGTGCCAATGCAGTGTTTGACCTGAATATTCATATCTCAGACTTCCCTGGTGGTGAGGCCAGTGTTGGCGAGGCCAGTGTTGGCGAGGCCAGTGGTGGCGAGGCCAGTGGTGGCGAGGCCAGTGTTGGCGAGGCCAGTGGTGGCGAGGCCAGTGTTGGCGAGGCCAGTGTTGGCGAGGCCAGTGGTGGCGAGGCCAGTGGTGGCGAGGCCAGTGGTGGCGAGGCCAGTGTTGGCGAGGCCAGTGGTGGCGAGGCCAGTGGTGGTGAGGAAAGTGGTGACGAGACCAGTGGTGGCGAGGCCAGTGGTGGCGAGGCCAGTGTTGGCGAAGCCAGTGGTGGCGAGGCCAGTGGTGGCGAGGCCAGTGTTGGCGAGGCCAGTGGTGGCGAGGCCAGTGGTGGTGAGGAAAGTGGTGACGAGACCAGTGGTGGCGAGGCCAGTGTTGGCGAGGCCAGTGTTGGCGAAGCCAGTGTTGGCGAAGCCAGTGGTGGCGAGGCCAGTGGTGGCGAGGCCAGTGGTGTGGCCTCGCTACTGTACCTGAGGCGTACATAAAGAAAAGATTCGTTCCTACCGACCGTTATTCATTACGTATGTGTAAAGTGGTACCACATCTGGTGCAGTTGTGGGGACCCATAGCCTCGAAGAAGGTAATAAAGAGCATTCAGAGATAAACTTGTCGTTGGACTCTAAATTACGCATCAGTATTTGCTTCTTCTTCCATATCTCGAACACTGTTTATGTAGGAGAGACGTAAATCGATGTAATTGTGTATGTAGGTTAGATTAGCATTTTAAAATCACTACATTCGCCTTCTGTGGTTGTTTAATAAATTCCTGAACTATATAAATAATATAAATATGTTTATTCAGGTAAGGTATATACATACAAGTGATGTTACATTAATGGATTGATATATAGATAGAGCTAGTACATACAATGCCTAAAGCCACTATTACGCAATGCGTTTCGGGCAAGTGTTATGTCTATATGTTTAACACATCTCTAACGTTGTCCATGGAGGACAGAAGAAAAATGTATATATGCTGGTTAGCATTATAAATGAATGACCACGTCTGTGGTAGAAATATTAATAATAAAGTATTATTATTATTGTAATTCTTCTTCTTCTTATTATTCACTGTATTATACAATACATAGGTAGGATAGGAGGCACCCATCAGTCTCAGGAGACTATGGAGTTGCACTCTGGTGTCGGCCTGGTCTGGAGTGGTCTCACCAGGGCGCAAAGCCAGGGTAGGTTGATTCGGGGGAGAAGCTGTTACCCAGGCAGCAAGTCTTCCCCCTCTCCACGGCGCTGAAAGTCTCCAATCAAGCGCCGTCGCAGGAACTGTGAGTTCAGGGGTAGGTGACTGGTTACAAAATGTGAATAATAAGAGAAAATGAAAGGAAGTGTGTCTCCTATAGGCTGTAGATTTCTTTGAACTCCAGTGCTGGGCAGAAACCGAAGATGCAGCGGGCATTTCTCTTCTGGATCGCCACACTGAGGCGCTGGAAAAGAAAGCTTGCCATTCTTATTGCTTCGATGAGCCTGGAACCCAGATCATTGAGAAACCTCCTTGCACTTTCTCTGGCACAAACTCAACTCTCATACGAGTTACGGTTGATGGTCAAAGGATTAATAATACGGTAAACCAGATATGACAGGTGTTAATCTCATCAAGAACTTTAAAATACTGAGCAAGTTGGACGATAATAATCCAGACCACTTCTTTAGAAGGTCAAATTTTGCTCATACAAAGGGCAACAATTTCAAACTCAACAAGCCACAATGTAGGACAAAACAGGAGATACTTTTTCACCCACAGGGTTTTAAGCCCATGGAACTACCTACCCGCTTTAGTCGTAAATGCCAAAACCCAGCGGGTTTTCTTCCTATTGGGGGGTGTTGAACATGCTGCTATGGCGATATGTTCACTCACAGGATGAGTGGCACTGCCCAATAAACTCGCCCCTTGGGGCAAAATTTAAATCTAAAAATTATGTCAGTTTAAAGACAAGATATAAAAAATCCTCAAGTAACAATTAGGGAACCTGTGACAAGTCGTCAGTTTCCTGTCCCTGTGTGACCACTAGGGAGATAGTGGCTCTCAGGTAAATTCAGGTATAAAATATCGAGACTTCAAAGCCATATATTGTTTAGTGTACTGTTTAAGTATTTACGTTTTCTATTTTACTTCTGTAAAAAAAAAAAACGACAAAAACTAGGAGTAACTCTGAAACAACACCGTACGAGTGACGTAGTTTAATTTTTCATTAACTGAAAGCCTGTCAGGCCAATAATTGACCTTCCCAGGACATAACCCACAACAGTTACCTAACTCCAATGCCTACTTAACGCTAAGTGAACAGATACATCAGGTGTAAGGAAGCGTACCTTAACGTCTCGACCTGGCAGGAACAACTAAATAACCACTTCTTTGAACCAAGAAAACCAAATACTCGTTTGATAATCCATAAGGCTTGAATGGCTTAACGTGGACAAAATATGTTTCATATTTAAAATCTGAATATAGGAAACAGTACTTCTTTCAATATAAATATGAGCAAAACCAAAACCTTTATTACTTTAAATTATCTGTTAGAGTATGGATCTGCCCGTAACGCTGCGCGTACTAGTGGCTTTACAAGATTGTAAATACTATGCTATGTATTATCACAAACCCAATGTACCTTCTTGTATATAAATAAATAAATAAGTAAATAAATAAATAAATACATTGCTTTACTGTACACTATGCTTGCAGCAACTTTATTAATTAAGAGTAACATAGCTGCTCCAAATTATGTTTTATTGGAAGCAATTAAATTAATCATTCATGACATACTCAAACTTATTCACCAACCGCTAATCATACCTGCAAGAAACCCATAAGAATTCCACACTTACAGGGACCTCAAATAATACTAACAGCAGTTACTTAAGTTACCCGTAAGAATGCTTCGAAGCGTTAAGCAAACCTCCCCTCGACCAAGTGAAGAAGAAAACTGGGTTCAACAATAGTCAGGTGGACTCAAATATAAGGCATGCAGCATCTTCGGTCCAACAATCCACAGGGAAATAGCAGTTAGGTTATATAGACTACGTCTAGGTTACAGATGCAACTGGGAGATTGGTGAACCCCGACAGAGAGAGAGTGCATCTTCTGCTAAACTGTCACAGAAAAGCCATTACTTCACTATCTTTTGGAATGTGAAGCAACCAACGATCTTAGAAGAGCTTCAAGAGTCCCTCTCCTGGTCGAAGGAACGAGTGTGTGTATTCAGTGATTAGCTCAGTGACCACTGGGTGGGCCAGGATTGGGATATCTGAACTCTGGGAGTGGATCGGCAATGAAGCGACGGCTTCACGACACCTGAGGACTTGTAACGTGTTACTGGATCATCAAGGACCGACTTAGGAAGCGCGGGAGCCTGACACCATTGAGGGACAGGCATCGTGAGCCAGAAATGTTGAAGGTAGATCAATTTTCCCTCCCATTACCCCTTGTTGAGTAGGCTAGATAGGCCACGAAATTTATATATTTATATATAAATTTATGTATGTTACAGTACAATATTGATGTATTAGTATTAGGATAGGCTGCAGGGCAGCTTGTGTCCAGGACAGTTGAAGAGGACAGTGTGTGTGGACGATGCGGCAGTGGGCCAATGTTGACGAAGTAGCCCTCTCCCCCCCCCCCTGTGTAAGGGTGATTGATAAAGATTAAGCCACCTATAAGGTGGCACGGGCATGAATAGCCCGTAAGTGGTGGCCCTTTTAAGCCATTACCAGTATCAAGAGCTGATACTGAAGATCTGTGGAGGTGCGAGTGCACCCAGCGTGACGGAAGAGATGTCTCCCGGACCAAATGGTGACCAGATGATCAGAACAGAACAAGCAGGTGGTATATATATACCACCTGCCGATCATTAAAAGGACTGGAAATTGGGCGGCTTTTCCGAGAAACCCAGTCCCCGAATGACGCCAGATGATGGTTACAGACACACACATTTTCTATCAATCATATTTACTAGAGAAAATTCGTGCCTATATATATATATACCACACACTTGCATGAACGCACAAGTTATATTTAACAAACACAACACTTACCCTATCAGAGAATCGAACCTGTGTGAATAGTCAGTGTGCTAACCAATTGATCACCAGCAGATCATTGAAAGGATCATTTCATTGAAAGGATCATCATTGAAAAGGATCATTACAGATCATTGAAAGGATTTTGAATCGGGCGTTTTTTTCGCGAAACTCAGTCCCGATTCTGATAGATTCTCTCAGGGAAAGTGTTCGGTTTGATATTATATATATTATATAAATATATATATATATATATATATATATATATATATATATATATATATATATATATATATATATATATATATATATGTGGAGCTTCCAGTCCCCGACAAAATAAATTATTATTTTTCCTGATAATGAGAAGACTATTGAGCATAAACAGTGTAGCAGTGGTTTAACTCTGCATGGATTCCACACTGGCCCTCGCGAAATTTTTTTTGGTTGGAAAAGGCTGTGGATGTGAGGGATAAGGTCATGGTGCCGTGGGGGTCGTGGGGGTCGTGGGGAGGTCGTGGGGGTCGTGGGGGAGGGTCTTGGGGGTGGAGGAGCAGCGGCAGGGACCGACAAATGAGGTAGCGAGGTGAGGACAGCGGTTTTATTACTGCAGGAGACACTGAGCAACCTCTTGAGTCCACTTACACACTGCTCCCTTGCCCCCACCCCTCCCCTTCCCCCCCTTCCTTTCCCTGTTCCCCATCCTTCCCATGCTCCCATCCCTTCCTGGCCCCCATCCCTCCCTTCCTTCCCTTCTTCCCTTCCTCTTGCTTTGGCGCCCTTCAGTTTGTTTTCCTCTGCTTTTACTCTCTTGCTTCTCCTTTCTCTGACTTCCCTTTTAATTTATTTTTCACCCCCACCTCCTCCTTTCCCATTCTCTGGCTTTCCCTCTCTGAGTTGCTTCCTTTCTTTCCTTTCTCCTTTCTGGCTCTTCCTATCCTCCTTTGCTTCTCTTCTTTAACCTATCTCTCTCTCCAATTCCTACCTCTCCCTCCCAAACTCGTGCTTCATGTAATGTTTTGCAACCACAGCTGTCGAGCATGCACGAGATGCTCCTTAGTGTTTCAAGTACCTTGGCTCACTCTACACACACATTTATATGACCACAAACTGTTCACCACTTTTTGTAATCACTGTGTTTTGCTTCACAAGTATTTTTCCTGTTTTGAGCACATTAGCTAAAGGAATTATTCGATCTTTTTTTACCATGCACATTTAAACCTTTGTAGCAGATTTACGTATAATAATTTCCACGTTATAGTAATTCTATTCTGAAGCCTTTTGTAAATACGAAGATTTACGATATAAATAAAAGCGATGAAGGAAAGGGTGCATATCTAGAGAAGCCAAATGGTATTGAACGATGTAAAATATAGCAACGTGAAGGAAAAGAAATTTGCATGAAGAAAAGAGGTATCACAAGAAAGGTTAAAGAAGCAATAAACCAGATGAAACAATGAATAAGATAAACAAAACAGCCAGATGCAACAAAACAAGATAAACAAAAGAACCGGATGGAAAACTGGACAAATTTTGGACTTCTTGGAAGAAGAAAACAAAGGAAGGAGACCATAGCAACAAGAAGTTGAATCAAGGAGACAGTGGAACAGGAAAGATGTGAATGAAGGAGCCAGTGAAAAAGCTGAAAAACATAACCAATAAGATAACAAAATAAATAAAATGTGAATAAAATGTTCACAAAGGCGTTTGGGAAATATTCCATCAAACAAACGGAGATAGATAACAGAGATAAAGAAGATAAAGAAGGAGCAGGTAATAACCGACAAATACAAAAGAACAAGAAAAAAAACACCAGAGCTACAAAAGCCCCGAACGATGTCCAAACACAACAGCAGATAAAAACAAAG